CGGTCCGCGGCGGCTCCCTGGAGGCAAACACCCGAACGGCAGCCCGAGCAAGGTGACCTCGAGGCCAACGTGTGCACAAACATCAAGCGGCCAATCAAACAAAGGGGCGGGCTGGCTTCATTTCTGTCTCCGGAGTCAATGAGAGGAGATTGGGGAGACGGAACAATTCGCACCTTCTCTTCTTGTCATTTTGTCTCCCCTTCCTCCGTTTGCTCATTGCTTTCCATGCGACGCTTTTTTTGGTGTGTGTGTGTGTGTGTGTGTGTGTGTGTGTGTGTGTGTGTGTGTGTGTGTGAGGAATGGAGCGGCAAGCGTTTCCCCTCCGACGCCGATACCCCATCTATTTTCGAATTTAGCTTACGCTACCCAAGAAGGTTGCAAGCAAACCGATAGCCGATCTTTTGCATCAGCTCTTATCAACTGTCAAGGGGGGAAGAGAGTTCTCCCCCGCCCCCCTAAAAACAAAACAAAAGCAAGGGCGATTCAGTCCGTTCCGCCCTCTTCCTCCCAAGCTCTCTATCTGGGTTGCACGATATGAGTCTGGCTTTGACCTAAATATGGAGCATGTCTTCTGTCTGCCCTTGCCCCGCATCAAACGTTCCTTTTTCGGAAGAGAAACGAGCGCACCCGCCGCTTGATGCTTTGGAGTCGTCTCATCAAGCACATCAAAAGTGAGCGAGCGCACGGCCATGTTTTGCTTCAGTCCCTCGCCTCCTCTGCCTCTCTCTTCTGCTTCACGCTGATATTTCCATCGAGCTCGCCGGGCGACGTTATTGAAAATGTCCACGGTGCACATTCAAATGCTGGACAACGGCGGGGCGTGGGCGGTCGGGGGTAGAAATGCAGAACCAGACGTCTCGTCTGTCTCTCTCACATTGGTTCATATCTTGGCCATTGCGTGTGTGTGTGTGTGTGTGTGTGTGTGTGAGGAATGGAGCGGCAAGCGTTTCCCCTCCGACGCCGATACCCCATCTATTTTCGAATTTAGCTTACGCTACCCAAGAAGGTTGCAAGCAAACCGATAGCCGATCTTTTGCATCAGCTCTTATCAACTGTCAAGGGGGGAAGAGAGTTCTCCCCCGCCCCCCTAAAAACAAAACAAAAGCAAGGGCGATTCAGTCCGTTCCGCCCTCTTCCTCCCAAGCTCTCTATCTGGGTTGCACGATATGAGTCTGGCTTTGACCTAAATATGGAGCATGTCTTCTGTCTGCCCTTGCCCCGCATCAAACGTTCCTTTTTCGGAAGAGAAACGAGCGCACCCGCCGCTTGATGCTTTGGAGTCGTCTCATCAAGCACATCAAAAGTGAGCGAGCGCACGGCCATGTTTTGCTTCAGTCCCTCGCCTCCTCTGCCTCTCTCTTCTGCTTCACGCTGATATTTCCATCGAGCTCGCCGGGCGACGTTATTGAAAATGTCCACGGTGCACATTCAAATGCTGGACAACGGCGGGGCGTGGGCGGTCGGGGGTAGAAATGCAGAACCAGACGTCTCGTCTGTCTCTCTCACATTGGTTCATATCTTGGCCATTGCGTCTGTGTGTGTGTGTGTGTGTGTGTGTGTGTGTGTGTGCGTGTGTGGGGGGGGGGGGGGTTATAATAGGGACTTTGTAGATCATGGCTGATGGAGCCATGATGGGCGAGCCTGCTCGTTTCCAAGCTTAAGGAGCTCAAGTAAGAGACGGTGAGCAAGAGAGAAGCAGAAGCGACTGAAATCACGGAGGCACTAAGAGCATCGTCTTACACTGCAGTCAACGGCTCTTAACCAGCTTTACTACGACGACTACTATGATGGGGTGTTTTTAAATTGGTTTTGGTTTTTTGGGGGGAGGGGGGGTGTTTGGGGGAGGAATCTGTCATCTGTTTGCTGTCAGAAGCAGAAAGCGGTGCATGGCAGAGACAGCCAGATCACATCCTGTACCGGAGGAGGGGCAAGTGAAGAGGGTTTTTTTTTTTTTTTTTCCTGGTTCCCAGCTTCTCAGTTATGAAAAATCCCCCAGGCGAGTGAGCGCTGCAGAAGCCGTTACCTTGGCAACTGACTGAGCAGCTTCTGGGGCAGCACAGTCTACAGGGGAAAGAACGATATTTTTTTTGTGTTTTTTTTTTTTTTTTGTACACGTTTGCTTGTTTGTTTTGTTTGGTCATTGAAAACATCTGTCATTTGCACGCCAAGCATAAGAGCATTGATTTTGTGAAAAAGAGTCATTTGTCGTCATTAAACAGCATTTTTTTGATTCTAAATGATCATGCAAGCAGACGATGCTCACATATTCTCAACAAAATACACACCGAAGTACACAAAGGCCGATCGCAAAAACCCGATCACCAAATGCAATCGTCTGTCATGTTTTCACGCCTCGGCATGGGATTTTGCGCGTCAACATTGTCAGTTGCCTCCCTTTTTCAAATTGAAATCCCATTTTTCATGCCAGCCTCTCCTGCACGGAGACAAAGAGACGCGACGCAAATGGCTTGAAAGGCGCAAGTGCCCGCTCGCAACGCATTTGCACACAGCACGCAACCGGAGAATAGCTTTCGCATGATCAGATTTCCAAGACTTACCGAGTCGAAATTGACGTGTGCTAAAATGGCGAAGGTGGAGAGGCTGTCACACACGCATTTGGTTCGGAATGAATCAACGGCGACGGCTCTGCAGCTCCGCGCAGACCACGATCCGAGCAGGGAGGATCTGCACAGGGGAGGAGAGAAACAGCACCCGCCGGCGTAAGCGAAGCACAGGAGAGGCTGCTTGGAGAGCTGACGCAGCTCATTTAAAAAAAAAAAAAAATGCATCTTGATTATGTCTTGTCAGGCTCATCATAAAAGATGAACGTTTTACAAATTTTCTTTTTTGGTGTCGACAGCTTTGGTGCATTTCACAATCTGTTCGATCCTACAATCACGAAGAAAAGATCTATTGGGGATACTTTTTGTGTGCTAAATGATGTCAATTATTTTAAGACTTGATCGTTTGGGATTACAAACCAAAAATAAAACCAAATGGAAAAAAAAAGGTAACATGAATAATTGAAAAAAAATAGCAAGGAGTAAATCCTGAGTGGAGAACAAAAAAGAAAGCACAATATATATGAAATAAAAAAGCCCAACTATGACCACTATCAAAACATCATGAGATCGAACACAGATGTTTGACACACATCTGCATTAAGTAAACTCATGTGTATTGTTGTGTACCAAGCTGATTTTTTTTTTTTTTTTTTGAGGGGGGTGGGACCGATTTGAAGTTGATTTGAGGAGCTAATGGCGCACTTCCTGTCATCGCAGTGCTCCACATACTGACCCCGCTGTTGGCCCCGAGCCACAGTTTGCTTATGGCTGTCATTTGCATTGCCTCCATTTCACCACTTTCGAGACATCTGCTGTGCATCGTACTTGCCTCAAATGTGATTCAAGTGTGCAAATAAACGCACGCGGGCCAACTAAGCTCGAGGCTAAACCAGCTGCCAACAGAACGGATTGCTGAAATTCCTGCTTCGAAATGTCTGAAATGTTTTCGTTTTCAAATGTTTGTTTTGGAGCGATCTGAAGCACACTTTGTGTTCAAAATGCGCCCGATAAATAAAGCCGCCTTGCCCCACCGACATTTCTGTGAGCATCTTCCAGATAGTAAGCAGGTCAGAGATGCTCGAAACGATCGGCCAGGGGTGTCCAAACTTGGAAATTTACTTTCAACACACTAAAATCAGTCAAGCGAGCAATGATATATTGTGAACACTTTCTAGTTCTTTTCAAACACGTTCACATCGCAGCTTTCTGTTCAAGAGGAAAGGGCAAATTGTTTCGGATTTTAGGGTGGCCAACGGCCCTGCATGTCACTTGACAGATGCGGTGACACACGCATGACTAAAAAGAAGCTCAGAGCTGGTGACATCGCCTTCCCGTGAGAGAAAATAGATGTGAGTCATGACTTTGATGCACCCCCCCCCCAAAAAAAAAAGACAAGACAACCGAAGTCGACACTCACGTTTCACTTTCATCCCATGAGAGGCATGTCTCGTTCATTGTGTCCTAAGGAAAAGGTAAAAACAAAAACGAGTCAGACGGAGATTGTGAGAAATCTCTGCATAAAAAGCAAACATGTATCCATCAAAACTGCATGCTACAAATGTGTGACAATGAGAAACAACATCTTGCCATCCATCTGCCATCAGTTGTGGCCGCGTATACGTGCGTCTCTAAACCGGCTAAACAGTTTCCAGAAGCTCATTAAACTGGGCCAATTATTGTGATTGGTCATCGCCAATGACCAGCTGCGTAGGCTGCGATCGTGGCAGGTTTGAGCTGGCAAAAGGATTGGCAAATGTCACCGTTTCGAGGCAAATGTCAGCAAAATGTCAAGCTTTGCGTGCGCCGCGGTGAGCACAACGCCCGAGAGGCACGCCGGGATATTTTTCTGTGGCTCCGTTGAGTTTGGGGGCGACAGGCATGGACTTACGTTGTGGAGATGCGGGAACTCGATCTCGACGGGAGAAGACAAAAGGGCAGGGCTCGGCTTGACGATCACTGTCACTACCTTGGAGTTGAGCAGAGTTGCGTTGCTGCGGAAAGACAAAAAGATGCAGTCACTGTGCAAGAGGTGACATATTCAATTTGGAGTTGGATTTCACATGTGCTCCCCTTGAATTACACTCCCCCCCCAAAAAAAAGACAGCCAAGTGCACTGATGCCTTTGGCAATTTAAAAGGCTAAGATGGAGGCAGCGGTTTGGGCGCCATCTGGTGTCTGCAATGAGAATGACATGCAAAGAACGTCTGCATTACCTCTGAGAGGAAAGAAATGAAGTGAGGTTTCGGTAGAGGACGATGCCAGTCACAAACGCTTCGTTGCCGTCTGAAATTGAGCAAAAATTGTTGCTTAGATATATATTCAACTGCATGTTGGTATCGCTGGTAAATTGATTTTATTTGTTTGAGTGGGTGGGTGCGCGCGCGTCTTACCACCATGCTCGATGGCCAGCGCATCTCTGGAAACGGATATTTTCTCCTCAGCCGTCCTGACCCAGTCCAACATCCCCCTCCAGCCCTTAGCGGGGAAAGTGAAGTTGGAGCTTGTCGTGGTCGGCCGCTTATGGATGCTCAGCACTGAGAAGGAAACGGATGCACAGTGCAGAAAGGCTCAAGACTAAGTCGGCCTTTGGATGGAGAAGTACGAGCAAAAAAAGCGTCTGAAAGGAAGCGAAGAGGCTCGGAAGTTGCACGGATGAGTCGCATTATGAAGTTTACGGTTATGTCGACAGACAGAGTGGATTATCTAAAAGTCAAATGTGCTATGCCCGATGCGGGCCAGCCGGGCGCCGGCGACTAATTAGTTCGACTGATGGATGTGACACGCGGTCAAAGAGATGCTCGGATGCACTCGGCGGATGGCGTGAGGACAAAACATCCTGACGGGACATGAGCAGAGAGAGCTGCCGCCGGGTGAAATGAGTACTCACCTAAATTCTCCGTGACTTCGTAAATGTCCTGGAAGCCGCTCATTTGCATACCGATCATGTTCACGGACTCCTCGACGAGATGGAAGAACTCCTTCACGTTGGCATCCATCTGGATGAGGATTGGAGGGTTGAATAAAAAGGAGGTGTGGGGACGGGGGAGGGTATTGTCATTAATAGTTTGTTTATATATTTTTTTGGGGGGGGGGTTCTTGTGAGATTTGTATCCGCTGTAGCTTGCAATCATTTCAATCGTCGTTCTATTGGCTGTGTTGATTGCATTGACAGAAATGAATCCATAAATTCAATCCGCCCCTCAAAATATCGATGGACACGCCTGCCTCGCATGCATGTTTTTAGAATGTGGGAGGAACCTGCAAAAGCTGACTTGTTGGGTTCACCACCGCGTGGCTTTGACTGAAAACGGCAACTAATGCCAGCGAATGGCGGGCACAAAATGTCGTGACCTTTTTCTCAGCGATGAAAAGGATCAAGAAATTGAAAATGTGGTCACAAGAAAGCTGAGACTTTCAGTCATGACTAACCATCTATTATGTCTTTTCTACGCCGAAGTCCGCCCACTGCAGTGAAAGCCTGGCTTGCTTGCTGCTAGGCAACCAGCAAACTTCCTGAAAGCCATAAATGGACCGGCTGTTGATTCATCCCGGTCGTTCGACAGACTTTCCTCTCGGTCGAGCTGAGCGGAGGGGAGGGCTGCCCCTGACTTGCGTGTCTCTGACGCACAAACCGCAGCGATGTGGGCGCAAGGTGTGCGTGTTTCTATGAAACGTGTGCCGTCTGTGTCCCCTCACATCCGGCGCGGCTTCGTAGGATGGCGAGGAGAGTCACAGATTGGCGAGTGGGCGCTGTGTATTTCCCTGAGTCAGTCCCGCTCTCCCGTGCGCGTCCCCAAGTGTTTACTTTCACTTGTCATTCGCATTTGTCATGCAGCTCTTCTTGCAGGGTAACGCGCAGACGTTTGTTTTGAGCCGCAATGGCCAAAAAGCTTAAGAGGAACCGGCGGAGAAAAAAAAAAAAGTGAACTAAATGCTCAAACATTACAAGTGATCGTCCTTCATGCGTGATTTTGCAATTTGTCGCGAGTTTGCCTTCTAATTACTTCAGACTTTTTTTTCACACCAGACTATCATTTCACACTAACAAGCTAATTTATGCACCCACCCCCCAAAAAAAAAAAAAAAAAAACAGAATTTCTGACACCCTCTTCTCACGTACCAGCTGTGCCTCTTCCCATTTGTCGTGATGTTCCTCTTTGAGCAGGTTGCTAATGGTCTGGACGTAGTTCTGGGGGAAAAAAAGACAAAGATGTAGCAAGATATGTAGCAAAGACAGCTTCATTCAATCAAATCATTTTCGGGGATGCTCCTGGCAGCTGAGATAGGGCCCGATTCACAATTCGCACAAAAGCGATCTGGAAACACACTCTCCAAGCCCATTTTGTAGTTTACCTCCACGTCAGCATTGCTAAGCCTCATCCTGGACGCCTTGTACAACTCGGTGATGTTCTTCAGGATCTCCATGACGGCCATGAGGTCACCGCTGTACGTCGCACCTTCGTCGGTTGAGAACCTCAGACGTGAAATCACCTCGGCAACGCCATCTATGCTGGGTGCCTTCTGCGCTTTGGTGATGTAGTCCCTTGACTGCAAGGGAGGAGGGTTGATGGGTGATTCTGTTTTGCTGAGAAGGGACTCGCTCGCAGCGATCCTTCTCGGGAACTTACCAGCATGCGAATGTTCTCGTAGTTCTTGGAGACACACTTGACGTAAGTCGGGCTCTCCCAGGTGGCCAGGCCGACGGCGTTGAGACTGCACCGGCGAAGGATCAGACCTGCGTGGCAGTACGCGGTCAGGCGAATGTACGTCTCGAGGTCAAGAATTACAAAGTACCTGCAGCGTCAGCGGGACATAAGATGGCAGCCATGTCCCCAGCTGGAGTTTTCTTCCACACCACATCGCCATCGTTCTGCTCCGGGCAAATCTCATGGGGCTCTAAAGGATTGCAATCGTCACGTGAGCTCGTGAAACGATCTTCAACGAGGTGCCATCTTTGCCAATACATTGACGTGACCGACCAGGGCATCTCTTCTCGTTGCAGCGCTTGTGCTCTCCTCTGTCACCGGGGCAAGGCTCCCCACCAAAGAAAGGCCCTTCGCAAACTCTTTGTCTCTGCTGGACGCCGCCGCCGCAAGTCTTGCTGCAGCTGCCCCATGAGCTCCATGCATGCCAACGTCCATCAACTAAACACAGAAAGTAGCGCGCGCCATGAAATCTGGATCGTGACATGTCTTAAGGATGACATTTTTGACTTTTTTGTTGTTTTTTTTTTTTTACCGGGGCACTCCTTCTGGAAGCAGTTGATGGCCTCTTTCCAGCTCCCGTGGCACTCTGAGCCCCCGTAGGATGGGCCGTTGCATTCTCGTGTTCTCTGCATGGTGCCGTTGGAGCAAGAGGCAGAACACGGACTCCACACCGACCACTCGTTCCAGTATCCGTCCACTAGAGGGAAGCAGAGAAGCATCAAGGATCAGCGCACAACATCGTTGGTCTTGAGCACGTTTGAGCTTTGAATGTTTCTTCCATCATGTCGCTGAAAAAGCAAATGTGGTTCTTCAACCACATGCTTGAAAGAAACTTTTCCCGACTGTGATTATGTGACTCAATTTTTATGGGCGAGGACGGCATTCGACATTTGCACGTCCACCCCCTCGCCCCCCCCATCCACGAATGAGGTGTAATGGTGAAATGACATTTGGGAAACAGCTCACCGGGGCACACGGCAATGTTGCAAAGCTTGTTCTGTCTCGAAGGGCCCTCGCAGGGCTCTCCTCCGTTCTGGGGCAGCCTGCACGTGCGAGTGCGGTCGCGGTACCCGCGACCGCATGTGGAGGAACACAAGCTCCACGGGGTCCATTCAGCCCAGGCGCCATCCACTGCCAAGGCAAATCCATGAACGTGGTGACGCAAGGACCAGAGTATAGTTTCCGACCGCATGGACCTCACGCGTCGGCAGGTCAGAAAGGAGGCATGAGGAGGAAGTTACCTGGGCAGACGGCGGTGTTGTTGCAAGGCCTGTTTTCACGCAGCGGTCCGGTGCACTGGGTGGTGAAGGAGGAAGTCGCACAGAGACGGGTGCGGCTCTGCCAGCCTTCCCCGCACGTCGCCGAACAGGCGCTCCAAGGGGACCACTCATCCGTCTTTGTGTTTGCTGAGTGAAAGAGTTCAGCGGGTTGAACTTTTTGCAGAGGCAATGACACACCGGCATGGGGCGTCTGCAAACTCAACTTACCGATGTGGGTCGCAAGGCCTCCTTGGCTCACACCGACAATGGCCCGCAGACCTTGGCTCTTGTTGCGTTCTTTGCCTGGAAAGAAGACGACGACGACGACAGGGTTTTTTTTTTTTTTTTTGCATTGACGCCGCTCCAGCCAAACGATTGAAGCGAACAAAGTGTTACCTATGCAGGCCCGTGAGTTGCACGCCCGCCCTTCTTCAACCGTCCCCTCGCATACGGCATCGTCGGGCTGACAGGCTCGGCTGCGCACCTGGACGCCCCCGCCGCACTCCTGACTGCAAACGGACCAACGGCTCCAGCCGGCCCAGCCTTCTGCAACGCAAAGTGCCATTCGTCCTCAAAGGATTCTTTTTATCCACGTCATCGATGAATGGGCCTTTCCACCCCCCTACTTTATACCCGACAAAGAGAAACTGGTGATTCACTTCCTGGTTTGGACCGCAACGTGGCAGAGGTTTGGCAAACATATATTTAGGGAGTGTCGATATTTTTGTGTGTGTGAGATCAAATGAGCAAAATGCAACGCACACATTGTACGACTCAAGAAATTCTACAACGTCTATGTTGTATGTTGCACATACAGCACATTTGACAATAAAGTTGTACTTGATACTTGACTTGATCTCCCGGGGCGAGAAGTGTCGAGATGCCGTTTAAGGACACGCTTTGTGTCCGCGCGCTCAAAGCTGACGGTAGCCGAGGCTGAAATTGCTTGAAACCACCGCAGGGGCCGACAGCGGCGTTGCTACGCCAACCGCAAGCGCGCTTCGATTTTCACCGCCGGCCGACTGCGAGGTCTTTGTGCTCCTTCCCCAGCTTTTCTCCTACATAAGCGCACGCGCGTCCTCCGAGTTGACATGCTTGACTTGCAACACAAGCCAGTTAGCACAGCGTGCGCGTCGGGCGGTTCATCCAATTAAAACTTTGGAGATGCTCTTCTGTAACACCTTCCCATTTGCGTGTAATTACTCGGCGGCCGCGGCGAGCACGTCCCTTGCCAGAGAGACGGGCAGGGTATCATCGGCATCAAACAAATGAAAGGGCGAGCGAGTGGTCAGGAGGGCCCGGCCGGGGGCTGCATGCCAGAGCCCCCCTGCGGGCGTCGTTACCAAACAACCCGAGCACAAGCAGTTTGTTTGCGTGTCTATCGCGTGTCCCACTTACTGACGATCTCGGCGCTCTGTCCGTTGTCTCTGGGCGCCGGCAGGCATTTCTCCACGTACACGCCACCCCTGTAGCAGCTGCCGGGCTTCCTTTTCGGGGTCTCCCAACACTGGCAAGGGGTGTTCATGATACCGCAGGGGTACTCGTGGGTACTGCCGGACAGGCACTTCTCCAGCCACTGGCACAGCATCTGGCAGGCGGGCATACTGGGGTTCCTTTTCCCCACAACTAGAAACTCGGACTTGAACTCGCTGACGTCAACTTCGCTCTCATCCTCCGGGCCGCTCGGGCCAGAGGCCACCTTGCGGATCTGCAGGAACTGCTTGCTGGACTCGATGTAGGTGACGGCGGTCGATGCGTCGCACAGCCTGACGACCTCGTCGTAGCTCTCCGTGCCCAGGTAGGTGCGGGACGTCTCGATGAAGGAGTCGAACTGGAAGGTCCTGATCTGCCTGGGCCTGCAGGAATCGGTCGGCTTGGTGATCTTCATGTAGACGGTGTAGCGGCGGGGGTCGGGGTTCTGCAGGGTCCAGGAGCACGGCGCCGAGGGAAGGTTGGCCGTGGACGAGAACACGCCGAAGAAGCGACTCTGTTCGAGGGTTGCGCAGGTGTCGGAGGCCGGGCCGGAGGGACTGCAGGAGGTCAAAGCGAAGAAGAGCAGGACGAGAGCCGCGCGGGGGCCGCAAAGGGCCGACGGCGCCATCGGGTCAGCCCGGGAGGAGGAGCTCAATCTCATTTGCGGGCGGCTGCAGTGGGGGGGGGGGGAACAGTCGAGGAGACAATGCACTTGATTGAGCCGTCTCACATTTATGAGTCGAGTTAGACTTTGCGTGAAAGGGTCTCCGGGTTCGGGAACGCAACGCTTTAAAAAATGCAGAGTGAAGGAAGCAAACCGGCTCGTTCCGGGCAGGATAATTGTGATGCAATTACAGCCCCTTCACAGTATGCTGGCACCGCCAAGCTCTTAGTCTTTCCTCCCACACACTGAACTGAACTGTGAAGCATCTGCGTCAGTCTGACGTCCGTAGACGCATTACCACTAGCGATGGC